TCTTTTTCTTTTTCTTTTTCTTTTTCTTTTTCTTTTTCTTTTTCTTTCTTTCTTTTTTTTTTTTTTTCCCTCTCTCTTCATTTTTTAAAATTTATTTATTTATTTATTTATTTATTTCCTTATTGGCATACAAGATTTCTCCCCAGAACAGTAAAAGGCAGAACATCTAATTTGGCTTGCCCATTTGAAACAGCATTTGAAGATTTTGTGGAGTGGCATCTGAAGCAATGGGGGTAAATTCACTGTTATCTTTGAGCTCAAAGGTATTATAAGAAGGTCTATCTCAGAGTGTTAACAATTACAAATTAGACATAAAATCAGAAGTAGCAAATACGGATAAGAGCTAGGAACATCATTAGTCTGGATAGGTATGGTTTTCATAAATGAAAAATGAGTATCTGAAGTGTACTGGACAGAACCTACTTTTTTATATGCATTTTATTTTTTTAAATAAGACAAAATATTTCATTAAAAAAGTCAGTAATGTATGCTGATGGTAATCTCAGGTAAGCGAGTTAATCCCTCTAGTTGTATTTTCAAGTATGTCTGGCCATTGGCAATTCTGGCTCCCATAGCAGCTGGATTAAAGCTTTGTATCCAAGCAAAGGAAACTGAAGGCAGCTGTTCACATTATTAGAAAGGACATGACAGCTTATCTGAACTCTATGGATACTCTATATAGAGTTAAATGACTCTATATGATACTCATCATAATGAGCACAGAAATACAAAATGTGAAAAATGTCAACAAAAACAAACAAAAAAACCCAAATTCACAACCAATCAACCAACCAGGAGACATATTATATAATGTGTGTTAGGGGATCGTTAGTGAAAGCCTGAGATCCTGTTACATACCACTGGATTCCCATTCACCATTTCTTACAGAGATTTTCTATACATTCAGATAGCCCTATCAAAGCTTGAGCACTGAAGAAACTACCTCATAGCTGAGGACTACAGGGAGACTCAAGCATTGCAAATAAAACCAAGTCCAAACTCAGAAAGAAAGTCATAAGTCAATATATAAATATCAACACCATCTCATGTAGACAACATGTGATGGAATGAAAAGCGCGCATCTGCTTTATATCAACAGGCATCTTTGGCAACATCTTGACATTCAAAATACTTCTGAGCCACAGCATAGTATGGCACGGATAAAAGGAATTTTATTGCACAGTAGTCAGAGCTTTGACTGGGCTATTATTGAATGCAGCTCTACCAACATAGATCTTCCCAAGTTATAGGTCAGAGGACAGTTTGAATATAGTCTGTTTATATCACTGATTATGAAAAAGAAGGCAGAAATGGCCACATTAAACTATATTCTATGCAGAAGCCCCTTAGGAGGCACAAGATAGGCAGAAAAGCATCTCTTTCCTCAGTTATGCTTCAGGCCCCAACACTGATGGCAGATTTTGAACTGAGGAATAGAAGAGGAATTGAAGAAAAGATGATGTGCACGGCTCTACCCTTTTTTTTGTTACTTTCCAGAGCTCCAGAAGGAGCAGGGGAAATGGGATATGAACTGGCTGCTCTGGTTTGTGCTGGCGATCAGGCAGGGACCAGGTGGCCGTTGTACGTATTAACCAAAAATATCACTTACAATAAACTTTATCCTTATTTTTCCCTTGAGTACCAGGGATGGGGTACAGAGCTGAGGCCTGTCTCTCAAATCAGCCAGACCAGTTCTACAGAGAAGTGGGAACACCAGCTTTTCTTCCAGACATATGAACAACCAAATGTCTCACAGTCCCCATTTGATTTTCAGGTACTATTACTTCCTCCCTTTCACTCTTTATCCCAACTGTGCAGTGCATGAGACTGATTTAGACTCAGGGTCTGGTAAGGCAAGAACAGAAGGCAGTTTCCTGTCAAAAGCCAAGCAGTGATGAAAAAAAAAACAAAACAAAACAAAAAAAAAAAAAAACAGTATTAGTTTTAAATTGAATTTGAAACAATTACATAGGAATAATTGTTTTGCTGTAAAAAAAAAAAATAGACATAGTACTGCCTTACTAATGTGTATTTTTGGTTCATCCTTTGCCATTTGGAAGTAGATCCCTACATGTATCTTTTAACTTAACTAAATTATTGAAAGCTATTAATTAGTTTATCTTCTGTAAGAATCTTTCCTCCCTCACGACCTTACATTTCAGGTTGAGAGCTTACCACAGTTTGAAAGTAAACTGCCTTGAAGCATACAGGAAACAGAACTGTGCCATACATAGCACAGAGCTATGTTAAAAAGAATGGAAAACATTCAAATCTAATGGCATCTAAGTAACTATGCAGAATATTTTCAAAGAACTTCATTCTTATATGCAAAATGAATATGCATCCAACATCACAGTAAGCGTCATCAATAAATGACCTCCCAGAACTCGCTATTTGCCTTATTTAAATTACCTGTAAAAAATAGAAGGGCCTCAAACTTGATCTCTTTTGCTCTCTGATAAGCTTAGGTTTGTTTCTTTTTGTTGCCTTGCTTTTACTACATTAAGGAAGGATTATAGGAGTATGGAAGTCCTCTTCAAATCTGTTCTTTCCTGATTGTGCAAAAGAATTTCGTAAAAGCAGTATCACACACAGATTGTCATACACCCCTAAAACAGGCTATCTTAAGTGCAGAGATACAAGAATAGTTGTCTACTCTTTGAGATTCCTTAGAGTTTTTGTGCAAGTTGCTCATTTCCACTGTAGCCCTTATCCCTTTGATTAATTCTCATCTCCGTTACTATCAAACCACTAAACAGAACAGAATCATAAAAAGGTTTGGGTTGGAAGTGACCTTAAGGAATATCTAGCTTCTCATGGCAGACCTCAACAAAGTATGGCTCCAACAGGGAAACTTCCTCAAACCTCTCCATAATGAACATCTGTGCTTGTGATACTTGTGCTCCTTTTTGCTAATGACCTATACTTCTACAGTGGTCTTTTTTCATTCCAGTAATATATTGGCTCCATCAATTTGCTGGCAAACTTCCTGTTTCTGATGTACTTGAAAAAAGTTTTTATTATCACGTCTTACACCCTTGCTCCTCAGAATCTTTTTTGTCTAGTTTTAATTTGGCTTCAAATTAAGATTGCCAGAAGCTTTATATTTTTTCTATGTTCTTCATTTGGATTTCCACATACTGAACAATGTCTTTTTACTCCTAATGACCCGTTTAGCTTGCTTTTAGCCATACAGGCTTCTCTTCTTACCCACAGTTCTTTTAGACTTAGGGAGTATTGGATCAGATTCCAAATAGTCTCTCTGAAATTGAGAAGGAAAAAAACCTAAGTTCTTCAAAGTTTGAAATGGAAAAGCTTGTCCACCTTCTAGTAGAAAAATTAAGGCTCAGAGTAAATTTCCCCATCTTATTTAGATGCCCCCTAAAGTCATCATAGTTTTCCAGAATGTATTTAAAAAGCATCTGAAAAGATTGTGGAGAATAACTTTCATGTGAGGAACCCTGGAGGTAGAAACTATTAGGTATGAGATTAAATTCTTCAATATGCAAAGAATCTACTTTCAGGTCTAAAAAGTTTAATCAGGTCTGATGAATTGATACAAGTTTGAAGAATTAAACATGAGCATGTACCAAGGCACTTAGGAAAAAAATACTGCAAAATTGATCATGCAAGAAGCTCCGAAGTGAATAATTCTCAAAGTATGTGTGTGGAGCTGGCAAAGACCATGCCCTTAAAACAGTGGCTGAAAGGGAATGTGTGATTCAGTAAATCATTCAAGCATTAAGCTTTCATCTTTGGAGCCCTGGTTTATACCCGACTGAAGCGTTAATTATAAATGTCTGGGGTATGCCTTCTTCACTTAATTAATCTCCACACTTACATGAATTGTGAATCCAGATCATAATCAAAAGCTCCTCTGGCACAGAAGACCTCTACTAACTGGAAGAGAAGGAAAGCCATTCTGGATCCAAACACAGCGTAAAGAAAACACATACATAAAAGCGTATAATTAATTTTGTATCAGATATGTTAAAAGATTAAGTTTTTCAGTCAGCAGTGACCTAAACCTGAGTATCCTGATCTAAGGCAGGGATCTTCAAAACTACTGGACAGTGTAACTTCCCACTGAAGAAGGTCTTGCAAGACTTTGTGTGCATCTAATCTGCAGAACTTTCTTACTAGGCTACAGGAACACATGCTGATTCATATGGTGGTCTAGACCTGCACTGCTACTGAACCTAGCCAGTTTAAAGCTTGTGTGGATATCTACATGATTGTCCTATGAGTGCAGTTAGACCTGATGATGCCCTTCATGGTGCGGTGGTGTTAAATTTCTGATTCAAACAGTATTGTCCATTGAAGCTTTACTGATGAGGTGAAGGCTGAAAGTACTAAGAAAGACATCTATATATCTGAAGGTGAAAGAGATCAGATACACAGGGAGAGTGAGGCAGCAAAAATGAGAAATACACCTTGGAGAGAAAAATATGAAAAGCAGCAGACATCAAAGGCAATTACATTGACTTAAATGCTTCAAAACCTGAACTTTGCTCGTAAAGCACTTTAAATGGAGAAACTCTAGCAAGCACGTTTGTTTCACTGCACTACACAGAGCACTTACTAATTAAAAATAAATAAATGAAGGCTTAGATTTCTATGCACATCCCTATCATGTTACCTCCGTAACTCAATTTGTAAAGATTTTTGATGTCTCCTAGTGATGAGTTCAGATAGAATAAAGCATCAGTGGATTAAAAAAAAAAAAAAAAAAAAGCTTTTTGACTTACTATTGCATTGTTCTTCTCAACCAACTGCAGCATGAACATTCTCCGTATTAGTTTTGCACATGAGTTAGAGATATAAAGATATAATTCCATAATGGACTCTTCAAGTGATGAGAGTTTCTACGCATTACATTACACATATCATTCCTGCAATCAGGATATTCCTGAAAAGACAGAGATGCACATACATTATTGCAAAACATTATTAACCACTATAACAATGTATAAATATTAGGTGATAGTAATTTTTTGTTTTTTAAAGATTTTTCCGGGTTAGTTATTTTGCATATAGTCAAGTTTAAGATTACATTTAACAGGCACTACGGACTCTGTCTCTCTTTCATTTCAGAATACCATTTGTGTCTACCTTCTAGAGCATTATAACACAACACTATTCAGAAGTTAAAATACTGTAAATCACAAATTATTATATGGACTACCTGGCACTTTTTCCTTTGTAGGACAAAGAGTATTTCTCAGATAGTACAGTTTCTGTCTGCAGACTCATTGAATGTGGCCCTGCAACTCCTTGATAGTCTCATTTAACATACTCACTCCAGCTTCACTTCTTCTCAACATTGGCACCAGGAAAAGTGTAGTTAAATAACTGTGCTAAAAAAAAAAAAAAAAAAAAGCAATTTACAGAATGAATCTGTATGAAAAGTGTTATCGTAACATTTTATTTTTTTTTAATTGTAATGAAATATAAGCTACTGTTTATTTTATTTTCAAATTGTAGTTTTCTTGACTTGAACCAAATAATGACTTCAAAAAGGCAAAGGGGTTGCTGTAAAGCTAAAGCAACCTACCATTCTATGCAGGGCAAAATAAATGGGAGCCACTCTTAAAATCTAAAACTTCATGTAAATGAACAGATGCTTGGCCTCAAGTTGCGCCGGGGGAGATTCAAGTTGCATGTTAGGAAATCCTGCAAGAGAGTGGTCAGGTGCTGAAATGGGCTGCCCAGGGAGGTGGTGGAGTCACCGACCCTGGAGGTGTTCAAAAGAAATTTAGATTTTGTACTGAGGGACTTGGGTTAGTGGAAAATATTGGTGATATCTGGATGGTTGGATTGGATGATCTTGGAGGTCTTTTCCAACCTTACTGATCCATGATTCTACTCTGGAAAAAATGAAGTGATCAATTATATTTTTTTCCAGTTAAATGAATTACGTTGAATTATTTACCAAAATACATTTCAGATATTTCATGCAATCCACTCAAAACATGAGCTTACATCCTACAGTCTTCATAAAAATTTATTTTATTTTTATTTTCTTTGAGTCTGCATTTCCACCTGTTTTTTTCATGTACCATGTGGCAGCCTGAGGGATGTAATGCATGGAGTTCTCTACCAGTGGCAGCTTAAGTAAGAGCTATCACTGAGTAAATAGTTTGACAGTCATTTCAACCACATTGCATCCTGGTGGGGATAGACATATGATCACCTAATTTCCATATAGGAAAGCCTACATTTTAATAATCACCTCATTCTTTACTATCAGACTATGAACATTCAATAAAAAAATACTTCCTGCATTATTTCTTATCCTGGTCTTTTTTTCCCTCCAAATGAAATAAAAAAAGAATGTGGGGGAAAAGTTACAGCTGCTTTCTCTACATTCCTGTTTTCTTTCTTTTTATTGCTGTTTTTCATAATACTACAACTGCCCAATGATCATGTGAAATCCTCTCTGTTCCTTTAAAAAAAACACCAAACAAACCAACATTGCTTTTCTCCCTGGGACACTTTGTGCTCATTATTTTTCAGAAAGTCCTAAAATCTAAAAATAACACACCCAAGCCCAAACTACACAAAGATCAGCCCCTTCCATATTTACATAGAAAGGAAGAAACCACTTTACGACCCCTCATTGTGTCTGGCCAGCCTCAGGGTCCCTGGACTGCAAGTAACAAATATCACGTATTTTGCTTGCTCTAAGTGTTTACTCTTAAAGACTTCAATAAGACCCAGAAAGCAAAAAGCACTGCTGCTGGATCTGTCACATTAACCTCTTCTTACCTCATGATTGCTTGAGAGTGGGTAGGAGGTGGTGTTAATTACCTAAGCCTAACACTATAAATGGATAAAATACAGAATTAATCAGAAGAAAAAATAAAAATAAAAACAACACTTTGGTTCCATTAACAGCATTTAATCAGAGAAACCAGTGATTGCAGCAGCACAGCAACCGATGTCCATTTGACGTCCAGCTGTTGTCCCTCAAGATTTGTACTTAAGCAATGAAGACAGCCCTGTTTTATCTCTAATATTCCATGTGAATATGTAAATAGATGACCACTGCCAATATAGCACCTGCCAGGAACTACAAGTATTTAAGGTCTGGAATTATTCCTACAGAAGTCAGTGGGAGTCATACTGACAATTTCAATCACAGCTGGACCAGGTTCAAGGACAATGGAAGAAAAGGTTTTTTCCTATAACTAACTTAGGCTGCAACTGTTCTGAACTCCACCATGTTTTATTTTTTCCAACAGTTTAATAGGAACAAATATTTGCATAGGTGTTACACAATTGTGCTATGGGGAAATGCTGAATTACAAAATAAACTGCATTCCTGACAAATTGTAATTGCTGCCCAGGAGAGTGAACACCAAGAAACAGCTTCCTCTCAGCTGTGGGAACCAGGCTTGTGCTGTGCACCTGATCAGAAAAGACAAAAAATCCCACAAATAAAGATTTTCATGCAACCAGAGGACTTGCACAGTCTTCTCACACCAGCATGTTTGGAATTTCAGAGTTCTATATAGATGACAAACAGAAGGTTGGGATAAGAGGGATGAGATTCTAGTAATTCTGGTTACATGAGCTGACACAAAGGAAATTAGAGATTAGAAACTCTCCCAAAATCCAGATGCCAGAAGTGCACACTTTATTTATCAGAAATAATCCCTTTCACTTCCACGATACAGCTCCAGATACACATGCAGATGCAGAGGGCCTCTCCTCTCTTTTTCTATAGTGTTACTTTTGCCTAAAAAAAAAAAAAAAAAAAAAAAAAAAAGTCAAGGTTCAAAATTTCTAAGTTATACTACTAAAAAGTATGCCTTGGACTCAAAAATAATAAATCTTGGCTCTTTTTATTTGTCCACCCTCTTTCGCATTATAGAAAGTTCACATATTTAAGATTTTTTCTGAAGCCACAGAGGCCAAAAATGCATTTCTTTTCCAAAAAAAATTGAGACTCTCAAGTGAAGAACAGATTGCAGTCCATACAGTGGAATTCATGGGGCTGGAGAACCCAGCAGTGGTGAGGTGGCAGACGAGTCAGATGAGAGCAAGAGAGCCAGCCAGAGTTAGAAGGACTGTTTCCTCCTAAGAGCCAGACAAAACTGAATTAGATCCAGGGGTTGCTGTGCAGTAAAAGCATGACACAAGGTGCCCTGGCATCCCACCACACAGGGAGAACTGCTGCTGCCATCACCCGATATGTGCCTCAGCCTGCTCCAGCATACAATGTTGCTCTCTTGTGGATTAATGTGCCCTGTTTTTTGTGTCCACAGTCCTCCCAGAGCCTGCCACCTACCCCTCATGGGTAATGCTGCCTTCATGGAAATGGGATCAGAGTTACTACGTGGGGCCCCAATGATCCAGCTACAACTGATTCCACGCCTGAGGCTTACACACCCCAAAGCCAGGCCTTGCACTTCTTTGTACCCCAGGCTTAGAAACAATCCTTCAGGGCAAAATGAGAGTCAAGGGATCCAAACTATCTCTGTGAAGGTGTCTTCAAGAAAAGACTCTTATATGTATGTGAGATATTAGGCTGTGGATCAATAAAATCAGCACATCTGTTTCTGTTTCCTCAACAAAGTGGAGCATCCTTGGGTTTATGGCACAGTCTTCAGAGATGTCCTCAGTATTTCTCTTACAGTTTATAATTTTTCTCTAAATTGTGGAGTCAGTCAGACATTCTGTCTGTTTGTCTCCCTCCTGTCCCAGCTAATTTCCTTTGATCTTGTCTGGTCACGCAGTTAAATTGAAAGCAAGTTCCTCAGCAAATCCTTCCTGAGGTACTTTTTTCCTTCAAAAAAAGAAAAAAACAACAGGAGGCTTTACTTCTACAGACATTCGTGATTTTTCATTTCTATTACTTGAAAGGGAAGAGGGTTACACTCTCCACCTGCCCACTTCTTGAAGAATCTATGAGAATCAGTTCTCATAGCTTCAGCCATTTTCTTATCTTCCACTCATTCTTTCAGCTACATATGAGACCAGTAACACTCATTGGTCATCATCATTCCTATCTTCTCATTTGGGAATCAGACTAAGAATAAAGTGTTTTAGCAACAGCAGGAGTCATGCTCAAAAACCAGTCATATTTTATGAGTCAAAAAAAAAAAAACCTCCCCAAGTGGGCGAAAAATGAAGGGTTTTTCTTTTGTACCATAACAGTCTCTTCCAACTACCAGCTCTCAACTCTTTTTTTTTAATAGCACCATTCAGAAAAGCTCACACACCTGTCTTAACTTATTCATCCTTACAGTATTCCCAGAAGCAGTGAAGAATAATCTTAAATGAATGGGAAACTGAGGTACAGAGAGAAGGAGTAGCACAGCAAAGGTCACATGCAACATCTGTAGAGTGGCAGAACAGGCTCTTGAAGGCCACACAAAAATGCCTTAACCACATACCACTCTTTCACTCAGCTTTGGAGCTTGGAAATAATGTCTGAACATCCATTTAATAAAAAGGCAAAACAAGCTAAAACTTTTGGATACAGACTCAAGACTCAAGTCTTAATTTTCTGCAGAGCAAGTCTGCAGTTTGCTCCAATTCCAAAGCAGTAATGGCTAAGAAAACATTTTGGGCCACGTCTCATACTGATTTAGCCCTGCCAAAATCATTGAAATGAAGGCAGCTTCATGAAAATGTTGCTTGCACATCTTACTTATGTTTTATTTGCTTCTCACTCCTTAGATATAGCCCTCACCCAGATCAGACTTAAACATGATAAGCTCTAAAAGGCTATGCTGGTTGTGGAAAAGGGAGAAAGACAATAAAAGATCAGTTGCATTTTGCTTCCCTTTTTCCAGAAAATCTTGCCTTTGCTAGCGTATAACTAACAAATGAAGATCCAATGGGCAATTTAGGATGAAGTTTTTATTCAACCTCCACCTGTAGTCAGTAGCTCAATTGATTCTCCAATGCAGACAGTATGTTAACACACAGAGCTTGTCACTATAAGGAAAAGTGCACCAAAGATAATGGGGAATTCAGAGTTGAGGCTGAATGACATGTATTTAATAGCTTTCCAATTCAATGAGGCATTTAAGATTTTCATTAGCACTAATTACGCAAGAAGTAGAGGTCAACACTAGAAATTTTACAGAGATTAAAGAGGCAAAACGGATTTCAAGTTAGAAAATTAGATTTTACAGTAACACAAGAGACAGAGACATGGAAACTATTGCTACTGTGCATCTACTGCCTTTAAAAACAATCGCCTCTTTGTTTAAAATATTCTGTTGATTTTTGAAAGTTTTGACTATTAAAGCACAAAAATTTTAAGTGTCAGGTGCTATTGTCAGGGCTTAGTGAAATAAATTAAAAGAAACATCTTAGTATCTGGCAACTAACTTCATTTATTAATTTTCAGAAATGGAAAAACAGTAATGCTGTCTTTTGGCAAACAAGATCATTTCCTCACTGTTCCAGCCTACAACTTCAGGCCACACCAATCCAGAGAGGGCTAGAGATTTGGTTTGAAAAGTTTTCTATTCCAGAGATACTTTCATATAGTCAGTCTGAGCTGTGACAATATAGGATCACAGCCCTTGTGTAAGATGCTGCCTTTCTCTCCAGTAATATACCAGGAGAGGCAACAGAATATCTCAACACAGCTGGAGGCCCTTGGAAA